ATCTGTGCCTTGCCACAGTTCTGTCTCTGAGCTCTTCAGGCAGTTCCTTTGACCTCATGATTCTCATTTGCTCTGACATGCAGTGTGAGCTGTAGGGTCTTATATAGACAGGTGGGTGGCTTTCCTAATCACGGTCAATCAGTATAATCAAACACAGCTGGACTCAAATGAAGGTGTAGAACCATCTCAGGGATGATCAGAAGAAATGGACAGCACCTAAGTTAAATATATGAGTGTCACAGCAAAGGGTCTGAATACTTATGACCATGTGATATTTCAGTTTTTCTTTTTTAATAAATCTGCAAAAATTGTGTTTTTCTGTCAATATGGGGTGCTGTGTGTACATTAATGAGGGAAAAAATGAACTTAAATGATTTTATCATATGGCTGCAATATAACAAAGAGTGAAAAATTTAAGGGGGTCTGAATACTTTCCGTACCCACTGTACATTCCAAGATTACTAGATATACAACTTGTGGTGGCAGAACAAAATTCAAGTGAAAAAGATGAAGAATTCACTACTGTATGACAAGAAATGTCTTCCAAATGTCAGCTGCAATTTCCTTCACTATTTAATGAATGAATCAAAGTAAAGGCACATTTGTGAGTCAGAGGATTTATTTAGGTTATGTCTCTACAGTGTGTTTATGGATTAAGAAAAATTGATTTCATATTTATGATTTGTTTTGTTCTTTTAATACTATAACTAACTGTCAGAAGTACACATCTCCATAGATGAAGTCATTACATGAAGAATCAAAAAGCAACTGAAAAACCAATATAATTAAAAAAACAGCCACATCATATTCTACTTTTAATCCTCAAGGGTAAGTTCACACAAATGACAAAAACATTCCACTTACTGCTAGAGGTATCTAGAATATATCTATCTTCAGTTATATTTACACAACTACTGATATCCACCAATAACATTTGTGATACCACCCACAGTTGGGCGCTTTCATTAGGACTAACTATTCTTCAGAAAATACTTCCATTGTTAAAACTGTGGATTAGTGAGCACACATTATTTCTGAAACAAAACTTACCATTATGGGGAAATGAGATTTTTTTTTTATTTGGGTGAACTAATCCTTTAGGAAACCTAAGAATGAAAATTGTGTAAAACCCAATTTAAAATAATGTATATTTCCTCATTCAACTATTGACATGTATGTATAAATTAGAGGGCCCGCTCACTTAGAAAAGAGCATTTTACTGTTTTATATTGTCAACTTTTATTTATCTATTTTTTACCATTTGTCTCGTTTATTCTGCTGCTATTCTAAATGTTGAGGTGTGATGTATGAGTGCTGCAATCCCCTTTTTCATTAGACTGTAGTTTGAGCGTCTCAGCAAAGACTCCTGAATTAAAAACCCTGGTTCAGTACTGTGGAACAGTACTGTTACATGTGCTCACTGTTCTATCTGCAATTGTGGTACATTTTGCTTGGCCAAACTCAGCAAGCTCTAGACAGAGCAAAGAGCAAAAAGGCATTGTACTTCACAGGCTTCACAAGTGTGGTGGTGCTTTGTATTGTCACTCTGGTTTCTGAGGACAAGAAAATATCTCAGGCAAGAAACCTGCCTGAAAAACTAACAGTACAAATCAGGTCCTTGGTGGAGGTGGTGACAGGGAGGATAAGGAGGTTCTTTGACACCGGTTGATGACATCACTCAGTTGAAGGGGTGTCCTGAGGTTCCCGATTGACTGGATCAAGAAAAGTTAGATTTTGTTTAATTACAGTAACCTAACCATGTTCATCTTATCATGTTAAACTGAATATAATGTGATGCCCACGAACTCAATATTCAGAAAAGCTGATCTCCATTTTGGGCCAATACTATAATCACGGCAGTTACATGCATTCCATTTCCAACCATCATACAAGTCTGTGTATGTACCTTCCTCTCGTGCCTTCATGCGGGCGACAAAGTTGTAGCTCTTGTTCCTGCGATAGTTCTCATAAGGGTCATCCAGTGACACCCCCACACCTTTATACTGGTCCCATTTATCCCTGATATCACCTCCTTTGATGGGGTCCTGGATGCCCTGTTCTTTAGCCCCCAAACCACCTGAACCACTCCAGCCTACAGCACACAGGGCGACACATGATTAATAATAGATATCAGTGTTTACAGTATGTGGGTTATTTTACTTTGATAAAAAGTTATCAAAACCTCCGTATTAAAAAGATCTCAAATGTTCTTAGTGGAAAATTTAATATTCAATTCAAATTATGAAATAAAGAGAAAATGTATACCCATCTTCATTAGCAGTTGGTGGCCCTTGTTCTCTTCTCCTAGCCTGTTATCTACAGGCAGCTTGGAGGGGGGACCACCCAACACTGATGTGGAGCTGCAGAGAGCAAGGGGTGGTCATCTATACTACAGCAAAGCATAAAATAAAAAGAGTCTTGAAAGCACCTATGAGTAAAAGGGACTTACGGAGGGGAGGAGCTCTGAGACTGGGGGCCACGGCGTCTCTTGGTGGGTGAACGCGAACGGGATCTGGATCTGGAGCGAGAGCGACTTCGAGTTGACCTGGATCTACTCCTGGACCTAAAGAGAGACAGTGTAAAGAATGTTGTTTAGGCACAGTACTGAGGGTAGGCGCCCTTCAATTTCAGAAATCTTCAGAGCCCAACACGCAATCTAACACAGGAATCATTATGTGGCCTGTGTAGACAGCTATACTGATTAAAATAGAACCATATGTGTTTTAACAGACACACAAGAGATGACTGAGAAGCACCACCTGTATAGACAGACCTGCTTTCCAAATTCATCAAAAATAATGCAAATTATCATAGGTTTTGCCTCCGTTTCCACAGTTCCCCACTTTGCTTTGGGGACCAGATTCTGAAATTAAATCTGGGCTCTGGTTAGACAGTTACACTCAAACCATATCTGCGTACTATAGTTTGTGCTGCTGTTGAACTGTACTGCATTATACAGAGAAGTGTTTGTTATTTAATCTAGTCTCACTGATTTAAATAGAGTGGACAAAGGCACAGGAACACCCACCTGTATAATGCTACACATTCGAACAGCACCACAAACTACATCATCCAAAATTACTAATTAAACTAAAAGCACTTGAACAAAAACTGAATGTTATTATTGGCATTAGTTTTAGCTTGATAAACCTAAAAGGCAAACTGAGTGCACTGTATACACAGCACTGTACAAAAGTTGTAGGTATGTTTAGATTCTTGTACAATTTAGGGACATGTCTGATTGGCTCTGAATTCACTCTGCAGCAGCCCAACACAAAGTCCTACAACAGATGGTCTGGCCCCCATAGAGCCATTATCTCAACATCATGGAGTCAGTCTGGGATTACACGAAGAAATCTCCAGGAGAACTGCGATGTGATGCTGGAACAACCTACCTGCCAAGCACCACTGTACCGAGGAGAACTGGTGCTGTTTTAAAGGCAAAGGGTAGTCACACAAAATACAGAATGGATGAAAGTTCTTTTCTCTTTACGGCACTTTGTACAAAGTTAGCTGATAAGTAAAAACTATTACCATTAGTGCAGAAAACCTTTCTACAGCATTGTATGTGCATATCAACATAAAGGTATCATTCAGATGTCTGGGACATATGTGCATTTGCAAACCTGGATCGTGAGTAGGAGCGGGATCGACTGCGAGATCGGGAGCGGGAATGAGATGAGTGGGACCTTGACCTGGAAGACTTTGAAGAGTGAGAGCTGGAACGAGATGAAGACCTTCCTCTGCTACGAGAGCGACTCCTGGAGCAACTGCCTCCTCGACCACTGAAAAGAGCGAGCCACGGGGGGGTTGACGGGTAGAGGAAAAATAAGGATAACGATGACATAATAAACATGTGAATCAGGTGTCTCCATCCCTTAATACACTAACAGACATCCTCCCAACAAGGACAAGGGAGCCCTCTAGAATAACCAGTAACTGACTAAAGTTTGTAAACCAGAGCTCTAAACATACAGACTGCAATATCAAAGCTCATTTTGATTACAATTACAAACACAAACTGTAAGCTCTAAACATGTGAAGAACAAAGAGAGAGAACAACAAAGAGAAATGAAGAGGAAGCTTACCTGTTGCGCTTCTCCTGTCCCTTTTTCCTCCTGGCTCTCATCTTGGCCCTGAAGAACTCATACAAGCCATTCTGCTCCCAGCCTTCACTGGTGGAGCAACAAACCACAGCCAGCTGTAAACCACATAAACTACAGCCATATCTATCAGAAACTTGCTATGCTACACGGGTGCTGCTTCTGGTAGCTGATTTCATGGTGCTACTTTTTTAGCAGGACGTGCTGTCTGTTTGAAGGCCAAAAGTGAAAAGCAGGTACCATATGATTACTGTAGGGTTCAGTCCCAATAAGCCAGTTTCATGCTGAGACTATCTCACTAACAAACTTCTTAGGAAATAGCTTTTATTCTCCTTGACTTTTTTTTCCTAGTCAAGTATCAACACTCTGGTAAAGCTGATCACAGTTACTGCTGCAATTGAAATGCCAGGCATTGCCTGTGACAGATTGTGTGGCTGTATATAATTAACAGTAATTGCTAGAGATATCTGCAAATAAATAAATAACATAAAAGCATGGCTGTTATCTAATAAGCTCTCTGCCAGGTTGTATCTGTATTTAGCCAAAGATCATTTGTAAATTTTACTTAGAAATGTTAATATTCCATTTACATTGTAAAGGAACTGGACATGATAAGCTACAATGACCTCTAAAGAAAACCCACAGGCAAGAGAGAAAACACAATGTGCTCCAAATCCAGAAATCCAGCCAGTACCAAAACATATACAAATAGAGAAAATACACTACTGTTTTCACCCATCCACTTTATAATGCCATAATTAGAGCATCATCCCTTCCTTTCAGGTGGCTCATAACAGAAACTTAAACTGATCACTTGGTAGTTTCTGATGTACAGGGGGTGGAAGTTTACTTACACTTAAACTTAAGAAATTGAAGAAGAAAAAAAAAATCTAATTCAGAGGAAAATAAAAGAATTGTTTGGCCATAATAATCAACATTATGTATGGATGAAGGTGGGTGAGGCTTGTAACCCAAAGAATGCCATCCTAACTGAAGCCAGGGACGGCAGCATCATGCTATGGCATTGTTTCGCTGTAAGAGGGACAGATTAACTTCATAAAACTGATGGCATAATGAAGAAGGAGAATTATGCTCATAGATTTAGGGTGCTTTCACACCTTAATTCGTTTGCTTTGGTCCGAATCAGTTGACGAGTTTGTAAACATGTAGCAATGTCTCCTTGGTTCGGTTTCGTTTCACACACAGAAAAATCCAAGTGCACCAAAACACGTCACGTAAAACTACGCGAGAACGTTCTCTCCGCTTATTGGTCAGATGTGTCTGCCGTGAGAACAGAAAAAGTAAATAAAGGAAGAAAGTCCACGTTTCTGTGATGAGAGGATGGAGGTCAACATACGTGGGTTGGGCCTCACCCTGGTTATTTTGTGTTATGTTGCTTGCATTTACCACTTAAACCAAGTCGTATAGTTTGCCCACGATTCATCCTGGCGCATGCTTTGGGTGACAGGAAATAAAATCTACCCATAATCCAATGCCCTCAAATCATGTGGTTCACGGCCTTTGGTCCTATTTTGGTTCGGTACGCGTTCTCACCAGGAGGACCGCACCAGAGTTCGCTAGATGATGCGGATCGAGACCACCTCATTTTGGGGGTCTCGGTGCGGTTGTTTTGGTGCGCACTCAAGTGCGATTACCGTGTTCACACCAGACAAAACGAACCGCACCAAGAGGGAAAACGAACTCTAGTTCGATTCAATGGAACTAAACGCTGTAGGTGTGAAAGCACCCTTAAACTTCATCTGAAGACATCAGCCAGGAAGCTAAAGCCTGGATACATAATGGGCCTTTCATCAGGACAAGGATCCACAGCCCATCCCCAAAATGGTAACAAAAAGGGTTAAGGCCAGCAAAGTTCTTGAGTGGGTTTCACAAAGCCCTAACCTTAATCCAGTATGGGCTGAAATGAACAAGGGGGTTTGCACAAGGAGGCCCACAAACCTGACTCACATGCACAACTTCCCCCAGGAGCAATAGGCTAAGATTCCTGTATATATCATTGTGCAAAGCCTGTGGAAGGCCTCCCTAAGCATTTGATTCAAATAACACAATTTAAAGACAGTACCACCAAAAATTAACAGTGTATGTAAACTTTTGACTCTCTGAGAATGTGATAAAACAAAAGCTGAAATTAAAAATTCTATTGTTATTACTAATATTACAAAATTTCACAATAAAAATAAAGTGGTTTAACAAATTGAACAGAGGGAAAATACACTGAAATGAAACGTGGAGTCATGTGCGAGTACCTGTTCCTAGGCCGATCATGTGATGGAGGGCTGTAGAAGGCCTCTACAGCAGCTAGCAACCGATCACTAGGTGGCATGGGAGGGGGCAGGCGGATGTCTTTAGGATCCAGAGGTTTATAATCACAATCCTCAAGCTGAGGAATAGACAGTACAAGAAGACATGCAGGTTTGACTGTTGAGTCTAGTGAGCAAGTTCTTTGCTTTAATTTGGAAAACTATGTTACTGTGGCAGATATGGATAATATAATTAAATAATATTTAATTAGTTACTGGCACTCTTCGTTCTGTGTACATTTCAACTTGTTTTAAAAAGTGTTCTGTAAACTACTTCTACAGTCTTGGATCTTGTCCATTCTGTAAGTCACTGCAGCAGTGCTATGGAAGCACACTGCATTCACCAAAGAAAAAAAAACTGGAGGATGTTATCTCATGATTATGACTTACTATCTTCTTGTCAAAGTATAATCTGCGCACATGAACAAACTTTTACTGTTTGTGACATTTTCCAAAATAGTGGACATTTTTTGTTTTTTGGTGAATGCAATGTACTTTCGTACATTGCCGTATGCATTATATTCATTGTTCTTTTCACCCCTGATAATATTCAACCATGATGAACGTCTTCTAGCATGAAAGACATGTTGACAGCTGTGAGTTTAACCAGCTGATTACATTTCAAATTTTGTATGTAGTTATCCTCAGATCAGAAGAAGATAGCTTACTTTGACCAGCGGAGCCATGAGACCAGCTGGCAGGTCAAAGTAGGGTACGTTGGGCACCAGACTGGGGTCATCTTGGACAGGATGCTGCCGATGACGTACATGTGGTGAATGGCCATTGAAGCCATGCGGAGGTGGGCCAAATTCTGGATGCTGGCCTCCACCCCAGGGTGGATGATCAGCCCCCATACCTGGGGGAGGGAGCCTCTGATTGGGATGGTGATGGGCAGGAGGACCTGGCATGTCTGACAAACAAAAGTGTATATTGTTAAAAACAAACAAACAAAAACAAATATATTAAATATAATTACAGGTGCAAAACAAGGTAGCATTTAAGTGAGATTAGGGCTGGATAAATATTTCAATTTTCCAAGTAACTGATCAAACAATTGATAACTCTTGAAAGACTGATCTTTGCATCTGTACCTTTTCCCAGAATGTGTGTTACATGGGTTCTAAACGTTATGTGTATGCAGTGGTTACTTGTTGTAAGTGGTTCAGTTCTGACTATGATATGCAACATGTCCACTTTGTGAAAAACGAGTTGTTATAACATGCCCAAATAAATCTAAAATTATAAAATAGCCCAGATGACAGCTGGTTATATTAACCGTGTTGAATCAGGACAGTCCCATTAACATGCAGAGGTTTATGGGACTCTGACCCCCTTTAGCGGACCTAGAGATCTGGTTGATGAGAGGGACAGGCTGAAAAAAGGTTATACACACTGAGCTCTTGGTTTGCTTGGTTGAACAGATTATCTATGGCGATGTAATCCCATTAATATAAACACTGCAGACAAATTGGTTTGTCCTGTCTGTGCTAATATAGATCAGTGAAGTGGATGTAGCATCTTATGCTGTATGTTACAAGGGACTGGGGTTGTAATGAGCCATCATTACATAAGGATAACGATGACATAATAAACATGTGAATCAGGTGTCTCCCTCCCTGTTTTATAGGTTTATAGTCCTGATGCATCAAATGATGTTCCTGTAATGCACTTGCATTTGATTACTAACGTTAATGTGGTCTAAATCATCAGTGAAATTCATGGCATTTGATTTTCTGACAGTTTATATCCCTCCCTCCATCCATTATCTATAGTGCTTATCCTGAGGAGGGTCGTGTGAAGGCTAGAGCCAACCCTGGCTGACACTGGGTGAGAGGCGGGGTGCACCCTTGACAGGCTGCCAGTCTATCACAGGATTGACACTTAGAGACAGACAAAAACACACACACTCACCCATTCCTCTGGGTAATTAAGAATTGCCAATCAACCTTCATTTTACAATCAAGTCACTTCTCCATTATTTTTTCAGAGCATATAACTTACTGCTGTATTTATATTAACTCTGACATGTGTCCTTCTTGGGCACTGCCCCTAAGCCTTTCTATGGTAGGGAAAACCCTGACAATGAAAATATTTTTGCAAGACTAAAAGGATTCATCCTGAGGAGGCTGCTAGGGCAGAAGCAACAGGTCAGATGGATAGTATTATGACAGTGTTATTTGATAATTCATTTCAGAATCCCCCTCTGGATAATATTGAATCACTGTACCTACCTCCAGGATATTCTCCCTGAGCATAGTCAAAGTGGTGGGGGGTGTATGGTGGCCTATCATAGTGGTGCCTGGGAGGAAAGTCATCCTGCATAAAGCGTGGTGGGAAGCGTCCGAAACTGTGTGGTGGTGGAGGAGGCTGGTTGAAAGGAGGTGGCTGCTGGTGGGGAGGGAAGGGTCCCCTAAAATGGGGAGGTCTCTAAAAATTCAAGTTAGACAACATAGTCATTTAACTAAATGAGGAAAAAAAATTAAAAAATCACATCTTCTCCAAGACAGAAATATTCAAAGTCAAATCCAGAATAAGATGTACTGTTATTACAGATGTTAAATGTTGACTAATTGCAATACAGTTAAACTATCAAAAGAAAGGAAGTCAAACCACAATAATAATCTACCACATGCCTGCATGCGTGGAGGAAATGGGGGCTCCCTCTGGCCCCAGGGTGGCTGCTCAGGCTGGTTCCCCCATGGCGGTTGCTGGTCATACGAGTTCCAAGATGGAGGGCCAGGTTCTGACCCACCCGGACCACTCCAGGGACCTCCTTCTCTGGGCGGACCTCCACTCCAGTTCCCTGGGTCTCTCTGGTCATTCCAGATCCCCTCATGGCTGTTCCAGGGAGGGCAAGGAGGGGGAGGTTGATTTGGATCAAAAGGAGGCTGGGGAAGGACAAAGGTCACAAACAACATGAGTGGCTCCTGCATCAAGAAACCTCTAAAGGGGGCAGGACTGAACCCACCTCAAGGGATGGAGTCTGCTGTAAATGCAGAGGGCGTGGCTCAGTTGGAAGAGTAGGCCATTACTAGTCTTGGGGGTATAATTCATGGAGTCCTGTATAATTTGGTGGCAGGCCCAGAACACTACTTGGATAACGGAACAAAGCAGGAGATGAGCTGGGACACACCACAGAGAGCAGTACTCCTGCATGTACCAAGTGAGGGGATGTGATGGCAGGAATGGGGCTGCATACATCATAGGAACGAAGGATACCAGGCTCAAAGACAGCGCTCAGTCACTTGAATGAAGACTGCTCACGCATAAGACAAAAAAGACTCATAGCTTTTGGATTTACATCCACATTGTGTGACCTGTTGCACATTTAGTGTTTCCCACCACTGGCCCGCCCATGCAGTTCTGCTTAGCCCAAAGACTGGCATAAAAGTCATAAAAATAAAACTCACTTTAACGCTCTGGGAAATTTTTATCAAATATTAAAACCTCCATGGATTAAAAACTGATTTTGTTTGCAGCTTATCATTGCGGTCTATGGAGAAAATGATTTTCAGGCTTCAAGGATTGAATGTTCACTTGCTGCCTAATATACCCCCCCACACTGACAGGTGCCCCTGTAATGAGATAATCAGTGTTAGTCACTTCACCTGACAGTGGTCAGAATGTTATTGCTGACTGAGGTATGGTCAGGAGGAGTTGGGGATCAACTAGAAATGGTTAGTGAATGACCTGCTCAACATCTTGAGCCACTGCCACCCTACAAACAGACGCTGAAGAAGGTACAATGTGCCTGTGTTCAGTCACATAGACACTTTTATAGCTATTGTTGTGAGGACACTCACTGACATAATGCATCACATATCCTGTTACCATAACCTTAAGCATCACAACTAAATACCTATCCCCAACCTTTACTCTAAAACCAAGTCTTAACTCTCAAACAGCCCTGTGAACATAAGGGCCAGCAAAAATGTTCTCACTCTGATGGTATAAAACTCAAACTGGTCCACACAATGTAGAGCCATACAAGTGTAGACACATGCAATCCCAAATCTTTACCGGCTGGTTGGGGTTCCAGGGGCCCATGTGCTGGGGGTCATACCACGCAGGCTTGTTGGAGGAGATATCTGAGGGTCCACTGGGATTGCTGGAGTCCTGTGTTCTGGAGGAAGCGCCATCAAACTCGGGAGGACGACCTGACACGGAGGGCTTGACATCCCCTGCACACCACACACCCCCCGACACAATACAGCACAAACATAGATTTAATGGCCCAAAGCAGAATAGGTCAGAAACTTCTACAAAACAGCTGAGTAAGAATCAACTGTTGCTGTATTTGTCTTCTCAAACAACTTTCATTTTAGAGAATAATGACTGTATGAATGCACAGCACCATAACATTTAGGTTTTATTCTCATCTGAGCAGTGACTCTGGTTCCACTGATATGGATCTGGTTTTGTTCAATTTTTTCTTCTCACCAGTTTGTGTGGTCAGAGGTGGGGCCTTTTCAGGCTCAGCAGGGGTAGCTTGCTGTGCTGCAGGGGCAGTCTGTGGTGGTTGTTGCTGCTGCTGCTGCTGCTGCTTCAGGCTAGCAACAAACTCTTCATGCTGGGTCTTCAAAGCCTGGATTTGCTGCTGGAAGGCCACTTGGATCGGTTGCACCACCGCAGCATACTCTGTTATTAAAGATGCCTGAGGCAGAGGACAAGGGTGTGAAGAATCTGAGATTGTCAAATTCTTATCACTCTTTTCCAGAAATACAGTAGGTTAAGTAGCATTATTGCTGCAGTACTTGAGATCGGAAGGTCTCGTTCTCATCATATTTTTACTCATTTCTCGGTCTCAGACAAAGACGACTCTAGATTTTTTTTCCAAGATCAGTCAAGGCCACAACTGCCTGCATTGTCTATTTTGTTTGTTAACATAATTTTCAAGGTTCTCCCCTCCTGTGTAGCCTAAACAATTGTTCTGCGGGGCACCTTAAGCCAAATGAACATTAAAAATGGCGACATATCAGAATGAATGTAAAAACAACAAAGAGAGTTCTATGCTGGGAAAAAAAAATATAAAAGGATAAGGATAATCACCTTTATTGGCCAAGTATGTTACACACAAGGAATTTGTTTCCGGTACAGAACCGATGGCAGCCATCTGCGGCGCCAACTCGACTGATAGCTCTAACCATCTTGGGCAGTGGGGAGGTTCAGTGTCTTGCCCAAGGACACTTCGACATGTGGACTGCAGGTACTGAGATCCGAACCTTCAACCTTCTGGTTGGGAGACGGCTGCTCTACCCACCGCACCACTGTCGCCTCCCCAGGCACGAAAAGGAGATGGCTTGACCTTAAACAGAAACTTAAGCTGGCAATAGGAATGACCTGCTACTCAGTGATTAGTGTTTGGACAAATGTTTGTGTGATTGATCATCAAGCTAATCAAACAACTAACTGGATATTTCTGTGTACTGTTGGGATGGTAGTTACACCCGGAGTGGATTAATATCCTAATAACAGCAGCAGATAGAACAAAGATAAAACAAATGTGACTATTTTACAGCTAAAGTATTAGCTAACCTAGCCTGCAAAGATGCTAATGTACCAAATTTTGATTCTCTAGCCTCAGAAGCTGGACTATGGGCAAGCTGCAACAATATTCACAGATTCTAAATTCTCAGAACAGTAAGTCATAGTGAAAAGTTTCTTTCAAACTGTAGTAAAGTAGAAAACAAGTTGCAACACAGTTTTCATAAAAAAAAAAACTGTCCTCAGTGCTTTATAGGTTATGTAGCCAGCTGCGAGATGGCCACACAGAAACCATCTACAAAGTGTAACACCGAACAAAGAGAGTCTACTGCAAAAATATTAAATAAGTTGTAGCATACAAAACGAAAAATGTTGTTCATACACTTCCATGTGCTGAAGCCACAAATGCAAATGTGTATAAATATGATTAGTAACTCACTGTAATGAGCCTCTGGATATGACAGGAAAAAGATATTTGAAACTGCATAAGACAGTTGCATGACTAAATTATTTTCTTGTTCTACTCGGAATCTGTAACAGCATTCCAATGTGGTGTTTAGAAAAACAGGTAACATACATTATCATTAGATTCTGACTGATTCTGTCATCATGTTAGATGGTATAATTAATGAAGCTGTTGCTGCTGTGCAATTACAGTACAATTACACACAGCCTTCCTCTCAGATTTGAGACTGTAAATGAAACGTATCATTCTTATTGCTGTGTAATGACTTCAGGCTTTTAATCAACAGCATGGAACATTCCACTGGTTTCCACAGCTTTCACATCTCTGTGAAACTCAGAGTCATCATTTTACACTCTTTACTGGTTGGAATCTTCCTCTACCACATTAAAACCAAATTTCGACACAGTATCAGTCTCAACACAAACAGCTGTGCCAGGATCAGTGTAGCAGTGCTGTACCACTGGCTTTGTGCTGGCAGGAAAATAGAGCAATACATCTTCCTCCTCTCACCTGGTACTGGCCAAGGCCCAGTGCTGGATTCTGGAGCTGCTGAATGGTCTCCTCATCAAAGTACCCATTCTTCTCCCAGAGCTGCAACAACTGGGAAGGAGGTTGTGGATGGGAACAATCAGAGAAAATAACTTTAGGGATAATTATAAATAAAAAGAACTACAGAGGCTTTCTGGATTTCCAATGCAATAAATTAGGAGCAGAACAAACGCAAAGTGTGTAGGACCATTTACTGACCAAAACACTAACTATATACAGTATTTAACTACATATGCATTTGCATGGATGAATATTGGACTGCAGCACTGTTTACCAATACACAGCATGTGGCATATATATGCTGTGTACTAATATACAACAGCATATGTGTGTGTATATACAGTATATATCTACACCACTGACCGACAATAACAATCCCTTAAAATTAATAGAATCAAATTAAGAAATCCGATTTTATGTGAATGTTTCATTACACTTATTTTGGATGAAATAGGAGACTGTTTCCCATGATGTTTATATTACTGTCAAGAATATAATGTGTGAAGTGATGAAAGCAGCAATAATCTAAGACCACATTATTCTGACCCTGATACAGTACATGTGTGATCTTAAAATAAATAAATAAAAATCAGCAGAGTCTTACCCTGGTGATCTTCTGTTGCTTTTCTTCCTCTACAGCCAGGAAACTGGTGCAGTAGATGGGAACCACAACTTTCTGCAGAGCTGCAAGCAAATCCTTCTGCTGCTTCCGCTGGCTGGGAGCACACATTAAACACATCATGCTTTTTTCTAGTTTAATCTTCCTACATAATCCTTTTTAATACCCAAATAAGTATCTTTAGACAGCATTTAATTGTTATTGTTCCACTGGTCATTGTCTCAGTTGTGTTTTAAATAATTCAGTTGATCATTTAGCTTATAAACAGTGAAAAATTGAAATCTGCTATCTGCGATTATCGGTGCAAAACACAAAGATAATCAATTTGTAATGAAATCTGAAAATCTGAGAAGCTGCTGCAAGAGAATGTTTGCAATTTTTGCATTATATGAGTTTAAACATTTCATTTTTATAACCATTCTGTAAGGCGAACTGTATGATTACACAGTTATACAAGTAAATGCTAACATGTTAGACTCCAGCAGTTTTATTGTACCTTGTATACAGTTAATATAATATTCTGTTTTGTGGAATCAAATGAAAAATTTGAATTTATCAGCAATAGGTGTCTGAAGTGTTGAAGTTGGCAGTTGGACTGGCTTGAGGTTCTTGAGGACTGACTAATAAGAGTCGCAGGTATTTAACTTCTGTGGCGTGGTTAAGATCTTGAGGGCTGTTGAAGTGGGTTGTGAGAGCTCCCAGAAATTAAACCACCACAAATTTGATTGCCTCCTCGTGGCTGCTTGCAGTGACATGAGCCAAACTAAAAGACTTAAAGGATAAATTAAATTCATCTTTTCCAAGGGTGATTTCTGTCACTTTTGGTAGATATTATCCTGGTTTGTGCACAAGTGGTTATTTTGTGCCATTTTATTATAGAAAAAGGAATTGTATTTCAGTTGATTTAACAGCTCTGATGCTGTCACTCCACTTGTGGTCGCTAGTGTGCATCACTTGTGTGTGTGCTTGTCCCTGGGGCGCAGAGGACAGATTAATTAATATCATCTGTGCGCTGGTTGGTTGGTAGTTTGGTGTGAGAAGAAGAGATGGGAGCCCTCTTTTTCTGTTACCCATGAAGTTGTGGGGATTTTTGTCCAGTCTGCCCTATGTTCCACATTATAACTGACCTGTAAGATGATAGTTTGCTTCTTCAATAAACAACACAGTTACAATTGGGTTTGTTTGGACAACGTGTGTAAGGCAGACCTCCCTACTCTCCCTCTCTCAGTAACTGATTGTTATTTTAGATAGCTGCTGAAACACAATGTATGATTTTATTGAACCGAAACTATTTTAGTAAGACTGTTGTTGTCCGTTTTCATGAACACACAAGATTTTTTAATTATATTTTTATTTATTTAAAAAATCAATGTGTACTGTGGAATTGTGTTGTTAAAGTGTTTGCTTAAAAGAGGTTTACATTTATTGTTTAAAGCTATTACTGAATGGAACATACAGTAGGCTACACCAACAGTGATGATAGAAGTAATTTGTTTTGGGGGGGGGTGTTCACAATGTCCTCTGAGAGGAGGCTCGTCTCCCCACACTTTTTGAAAACCCCTGCTGTAGGCTACATATATGTACACATATTTGAGTCAGTAGCCCATAATTCCCTCATTATGTACTTTTTGTCAGAGGTCTGGACAATAGGTTTCCCTTCTCCAAGGTGTTCCTGTAAGCTCCTCTGTGCGCTTTTTGTACACCATGTGAATACACAACGAGATGCAACAAGCTGCACACACTATGCTTTCGGTCTGTGCGACATGAACCATCATGCATCTAAATTTGACCAGCACAGAATCGGATATCTCAGAGTGAGCGGCCAGTCACCAGTCATGGCTGATCAAGCTAAAAACAGGCCAAGTTCTGATCTCGAGCCGATCAACCGGTGCATCTTTACAACGCAGTGAGAAATGAAAAGACTGGACAAACAAAACAAGTGCTTCATAAGTGCATAGTATAACACTGGGGAGCCCCCTGCTCAGGAGAAAACTCAGCAGGCCATCTGCATCTAAAGGACAAGGGACACTCCTTTGAACAGTTGGTGTGAAAGAAGTCAGCTACATCTGACTGGAATGACCATTGCTAAACAGAGAAGGTGGCCTACAACACCACTTACATGCAGTCCTGACACCCCTCCCAGGGCACTTGAACACCCATCCACATCATCATGTGACCTTCACAACCAAAATGATGACCGAGTGGTCCAATGATCAGGAATAGCCTACTGGAACAGCTGAACTTTATATGGGGTTAATCAGAGGCACTTTAATTGATGGCAGGTGTACTGACTCCTATTTAACATGAGTTTGAATGTCACTGCTTAATTCTGACAACCGTCACAGCCCCACATTAAGAGGGTGTTCACACTAATGCAACCACATTATTTTAGTTTTTTATTTTTACTTCCCACTGAAAAACAGATTTCAGTTTGTTTTCAATTGAGTTGTACAAGTTATAGGTCACATTAAAGGTGGCTAAAGTTCTGGAATTATTTATCTTGGTCTCGTTTTTTTACATCACAGAAACCTGACATTTTAACAGGGGTGTGTAGACTTTTTATATCCACTGTAGGTCTCCCCAGCAGTCAGAACTGAAGAAGCTTCTTAGATGAGAGGTAAAATGTCTTCAAGAACCTTTTAAGCACATCCAGTTCCCAATTTTAACACTTTGGACATACCATGATCTGGATGAATGAGAATTTCAACCATACCAGCAAAGGGTGCCAAACAGCCAAATCCTGTGCTTGTTCATTGTTTGATACCATTATAAAACAGCAAGTGCTGTTTGTACTTGTATAGATATATGTTCTTGTATTTAAAGCTCATGTTAGTGCAGGTGTAATCAAAACAGTATAACAGTCCCTAGGAGGTATGGATTTTGGTTTGTATACCAGTGATGGAGAACGTCATTGGTTAAATAGATGAGATGTAGGCGGAGCTCAAAATGGGCTCCTTCAGCAGTGATGCGGTTGCGAAGATGTGATGTCATCAGTTCACAATGGGGTGGAGTCTTGGCATTGTTGAACATCCAGTTCTTACCAGCCTGAGGGAAAGATAAAGACATGCTTGAGATATAAAGCTTTTTCTTCAGTTATTTTAGTCATCTATGAACATAAGCATCCTTAAAAAAATCCCTGTTATGGAATGCTTACAGATATAGCATCTTTGGTGCAGGTCTCAATGATAGGCTGCAGCAGGTTGTCAAATTCTGTGATATCCAGCTGAGTTTCAAGCAGCAGCTTTTGGGTCTGCTGCTCCATAGCCATGGCTATTGCTGCAGTCACCTGCTCCTACATAGAGAGAGGCAGAGAAAATAAAACTAGAAAATCCCATCAACCACTCTTCTTCAGCCTGTACAGATGTTCCTCATCTGTGACAGGAAACAGGCAAAATAGCAGAAGATGCTAAAAGTTAGTTCTCATTAGGGAAGATCAAAAGAAAGAAAGAAAGGATAATCACATAAGACACTTATTTACAAGGATAAATACAATTGACTTTTAGCAGTGTCTTCATGATTATCTTTCATTTAATTATACTGTACATTTACAGGCTTTTGTTTTGTCTGCACATACTAAACAGATTTAAGTTCATTAGGGTTTGGGCCTTTGATAAAAATTTTTATCCATTCATAAACATGCCTTTCAGCTGAGTTTATTCATTTAGTATAAACATTCTTCCCCAAACAACTTTCTTGCAGCTAGGGGTGTCCCAATACCAGCACCAGGTCCTATATCACCATTTAGTACTCGTATTCATTCAAGTTGTCCAGTACTACGCACTAATACCCCTCCTCCATGCCAAAACAGTGGCAGAGAAGTTAAACGGAACAAAAAGAACTTTGGCAATGAAAAACACTGACAATGACAAAACAATCTGAATATTATAATTTTTCCAGTATTACTACTTTTTTTTAATGCCAGTGGGGTTTTTTTTTTTCAGTACAAATGCTTCAATGCCAATGTTTGCGTTGTCTGTTACAGTTTCAGTGCCAATCTTTATTTTTCAGTGCCAAAGACTAAAGTCGCTGTGCTGGCGCCACAGTGCTGCACTCCTATAAAAATTACAAACTACCGTATTTCAGTATGTTGTGTAGTAGGGTACATAAACTTAGGTTACACGTTATATTTAACTGAAGTGATGGCAGTGTTTGTTATCATAGAAGGTTTTTGGTTAATAAGCACAGCCTTGTGATTTGTTTTATTTAATCAAAATCACAAAGTAGATCTCATGAAAATAAAAACCATCTATAAAGGCATTGCACTTTTATGGAAATAGTCATTTTTGTTAAGTAGTTATCAGTACTCATTATCATCAAGTACTCCGATGTTAAGTGCTCACACTCAGTTTGAAAAAAGTGGTACCGCGCCTCCCTATTTGCAACCACAAAAATTCCTACTTAAATGGCTGGGTATCAAGAAATTTAACTGAATTCATTATTTGCACTTTGAAAATAAAAACAAACCAAAAGGACAAATAAATCATTGCAGTGGGGAAAATGTCCTCTGCCAGATTTAATGATCTCTCTCTCATGTTGTACCTGTCTGAGTGTGTGCAGATGCTGCTCCTGCTGCTGCAGATTCCACTGGCTCTGCTGGATAAGCTCATCAATAGAGGGTGCGGCAGGTGGAGGAATGGAGGGTGGTGCAATCATTGCCATTGGGGGAGGAGGGATATCAACCACATCTTTGGCGCCTGGGTTGTACATATCTGCAAAAACAGCACAAGGAAATCAGCAGTGAATATGAAAAGTCTAGAGGTTTAGTAAAGGTTTAATTTCAAGGCTGAGTTTGGAAGAGTTGAAGCTGTGCGATGCAGATAGTCAAAAGAAAACCTGTATCACATAAAAATATAGAGAACTGTATAAGGCAGATATTGTGTTGTTGTGTACACAAACCTATTTCAATCAAAGTGCCCTTTAAAGGTCAAATAAGATGTAATAGTTTACATACAGCAAGCAGATGAGATCCAGGAACAAAGCAGAAGATTGAACAAAATTTAAAAGGCATGCAACCTGCAATAACACAGCCACTGTTGTTATTTGTAAACCCTTGCCTATTGCAGAGACTACTGCTGCTGAAAGGAAACATGCTGGCATCTTTAAACATCAAGAATCAGAGCCACATTTTGCAAACAGCACAGACATATTACCTATCTAAACTACAACCGATGTACGATGCCATCATACAGTATATCCACAGTTCCAAGAGGCAGAAATACTGGACAACTAATAAAACTGTTTGTTAGACAGAATCATTGTCCTACAAATCAAAACACTTATTTATAATTCAACATATATGTAGGTAAGTGGGGATGTCACAAACTCAAAAACTGGGCTTTCTACTGCTTTGTTTGGTTTCATTAAATTCAGGGTATAAAAGCTGTCATCAATGCCCTACTGCCCTCAGTTAAACATTGTTTCAACAAATATGAAACTGTGAGCTTATTTTAGGTCTTTAGCTTCACAGCAGTGTGACACGGCAGTAACAAAATCGCTTACAAACAATGAGCTGTGTAGGACTTGTATCATTACTGTATGACAACATATTCTGAATTCACAGTTAACTTAACATACCTTAGAAACTATTTACAATTTGTTTTAAAGTGTGTTTCAGTGATCCAAACACAAGTGGACAGCTGAGACGCATCGCCTATCGCACCTGTCTATACCCATGCGTGTCCAACAGTACAGATTATATATGTCATGTGTATAGGTTTTGTTACTGCTGCATCGCATCTGCTAAAAGCAAAACCTTTCTTGGATTCGTATTGCATGACACCCCCCACCCTTTTTATTTTTGAGAGCTGGTGCACTGTCACAGCAACAACCACCACATGCTGCACTGATGATTTACTTTCCTGTAGCATCCAAGGACTCATCAGTAGACATTAGCATTTACACTACAAACAACATGCGGTCAAATGCGTCCCAGACAACCTTGACAAGTGGTTTCAGTGACTGGATCACAACCTTGGTGGTTGTTTACACTTGTATTCCAAGCTGTCCACTTGTGATCCAATTGCCCAAGACACATTTTAAAACAAAACATAAATGGGGTCTTAGATTCTTGTATAAAATTTCTGGACTCACAAACTATTTTTAAAATGTTCCCATTACATTTCACTGTCATCAGAACTATGAGTACAGCTGGTAATTTGGTGTGCAGGCTGCACTGCGCTCAGGGAGAAGCGATGTGTTGTCCCAATAATATTATCCAATATATGCAAAAGTAAGTCTTCACTCAATAACAAGAATTTGCTTTATTCTCACAGAATAAAGAAAAGTCTTGTTATTGAGTGCAATCCTACTTTCCACATTTACCTGGCGATTTGTACCACATTTATTTTATCGAACAGGTTCTGTTCTATCTGCAGCCGGTTTATATTTTTCTCAAATAATATTAGAGCGGTATTATAAGGGCTGTGCAACTGTGTCTCTCTTCAGATATTACAAAGGGCAGACAGAATATTCATAACACAACCCCATGAGGGTGGGCACCCCAGTTCAAACTGGAGAACACTACCTGCTGCCAATCTGCCATTGTAAAACTAGGCCTGAGACTGTGGTCATGTCACACTACTAGGACAATTTTTCTAAAAACTGAGATAATGATGCTGATACTGATAAATCTCCAGAAACAAAAGTTTAAATTTTGGAGAACTCATGCAGCCTTCACATATAAAGATGCCATGAATCCCAAGAGAGACAAACTGATTAAACAAAGTATTGTCCAAAGACAAATCAGCAGGGTCCTCCTCCTGTCTGATCAACCCAGACAGCCTCAGATGGAGAATTAAGCGTTTTGATTGGTACCATCAAGAGGATATGCCCAAGATATTTTCAGTCACACTTAAAAACAACAATACAGCACAAACCCAAAAATGAAATACATAAACATGAAAAATGTAACTAAAAACAAACCAAAAAGCTTCCAAGCACAGCTGCAATCATGTCAAGCAAAGATGTACAAAAACAAAATGTGGCTTTTCAACTGGAATTTTGAATTCATCTAACAAATCTGGTTCCATATAAATACCTTCAGATTTATACTCCTCCCCATCGAAGGTAGAGGGATCTAAATGGAGAAAAGCAAACTTTAATGCATTTCAGTGTTACAGTATTACATAACTAACACAAGAACTCCATGCAACCCTGCACAATACAGCTTTTATTACCAAGTGTTGATCACCTGACCATCATTCAGCACCTAACTGGGTGCTGTAAGAAGCTCCAACAACCTCTACATAAGCAGCAAGTGGCCTTAATAGTCTGATAAATCAAACCTAGGGCTGCACAATTATGGCAAAAATCATAACCACGATTTTTGTCAATACTGAGATCAGTTATTTAACAAAAGTATGCATTGCCTTTGAAAACATTATGCATTTACTGAACTTTAAGAAAAAAAAAACCTGTCTTTAAACTGTGGGGTTTCTTCAACTTTAAATATGATTCAACTGAAAAACAAATTAAGGGTTTTTATCTACCTAATGATGATTGATTCATCAGGCTATTACCCTGCATTTATTTTACAAATAAAACTTTGTGACTTCAGGTTAACAACAGCCTCTTTCCTGTCATAATCTAAAGAATCTGCTGGGCTCACCGTGACACACACACACACACACACATCCCTCTCATTCCACAGTTTCAGCTTGTTCGTAACAAGCCTGCTATGTTAAACACAAACTGCCTGTGCATTAAGGACTACGAGCAAAGCTGAAATGATTGCTTCTCTGCAGGTTTATACTTGTTTAGCAGGGTTTTGATAGATTAATCTTACTGACTTACGGCCCCTGTGCCTAAGATAAACTCTAGAACACATCCCTAGCTGCTGTCCTGAAGCACTAGAGGAGGGCTGATATTGTTGGCCATGACTAAGTCCTGAAGAAGTCGTGGCACCACTGACCAGATTAAGCATCTTCGACCACCAAGATGCAGAAGGAGAAAATCAGAACCCTCAATCTAAAGCCCAAGCTGGCCTCCCTGGGGCAGAATATGATTGGACCTAGGAGAGCAACTCAGATTCCATGAAAACATCATGGAAACCACCCTCAGACAAGACAATATGCTGGTCTCTGAAACATCTAAACAGGTGATCATGTTGGAGCTCAGTGACCTGGGAGAAGCATTTGGAGGCAGCTAGCAAGAGCACAAAGGGGAAGAGCACATAGCTGGAGGAGAACTGCTGCAAAGAGGGGTGGCATGCACAGTGCATGGCTGTTGTTGTGGGGAGCAGGGGCTTTGTGGGGAAAAATCACTGTGCAAAGCCTATAGCCTTCTGGCCATAACTGGAGCACAGAAAAGTAAAGGCTCAGTAGAGCTTTACAAGCAGTTGGGAGAGCCTCAAGATGGCTGTGGATCAGGAGGGACAAACCATGGACCAGTGCTCCTTGAATGCAGCCTGAGAACTGATCACTCCTGGTCAGGTTGTTTGGTTGAGGGTGTCTGAAGTTGAAGAATCCAAAACACCCCAATTAATACCACTGATGACGTGTCCAAGTGTGTCAATGAATGCAGGGTATAATCAAAACCATGTCCTAACACTCAGGACTATAGCCTGCTTGCACATAGATTTGCTTTTCTTGCACTTAAAACCCTGTCTTCCACTCCAATATGGGGCTGCTTGCCCAAATTTCCTGTGCTCACACTTAAACCCTTCTCCTGTATACATATTTCTATATGTATAAGTAGTTTCTTCTTTTTTTTCTATCAATCTTATCTTGTCTACTTGTCAGCTCACTGCTTTACAGAAGAACATTGTACATACACACTGAGAGCTGCTGTACCAGAGTCATAGTCCTTGTGTGTCCAACACACCTGGCCAATAAAGCTGATTCTGACTATACTCTGGCTACTGTTAGGTGCTCCCTAAACTCCTGCTCTCGGATTTTCTTTCCTTGGTCTTGGATTGTTAGGAAATAACCCAAACTAACCCTGCCGAAATTTGCCAGACAAGTACAAACTGCCACTGAAACACTCTCCTCACACCCATTAGACTTTGAGCTTTTAAAAGAAGTAACTTTCATAGGTTGAGCAGAACATGAAGTAAACAGTACTGATTGGCATAAAAACTGCTAATTTCATCTAAGGGGACTATTTGCATCACTGCACATGCTTGGGGCAATTTTTTCTCATTTGGACAGGCCTGACATGCTGCTTAAATGGGGGGAAAGCAGCATATATGGAGGCAGGCTTGAATCTCTATCAGCTGATCACAGCAGCAGGTGGTAGAGATGTGGTGTTGAGTGAAAAGCCAGCCATTACAGTGAATACTGTTTTTAAAATGTGGATAATGCTGCACAATGCTGCACATCTTCTGACTGTCACTCCAAGAAGTCATACATGGTGCTGCATTTGGTTGCACGCATGAACAGTGCCACAAAAAAAAAATAAATAAATAAATAAAGAGCACGAAAGAGACATTCAATCCACGGCTCCTTTCTCCTTTCCCACCTCTCTACAACTGAGCAGTCACAGCACAAAGTGAACGTGACTTTTCTTTTTTTCCAGAAAATTACAAGAACAGTGGGACCCAAAACAGCCTATAACAATGTCAAAAAGGAGGGTGGGGGGATTTAATAAACTTTTTGATGATCTGACAGAGTTTGGACAGAGTATATGGCCCCATTGATCGCAAGTGATCTTCAACCAGTCTCTGGCCCAGTCCACTGTCCCACTTTGCCTGAATTCCTCCATGCTAGTTCCCCTGCCTAAGAAACCCACCAGTCTCAATGACTACTGGCCAGTTGCACTCACTCCAGTGGTGATGAAGTGTTTTGAGAAACTAGTTCGGGGACACATTGTCATTCCTCCCACCAACATCTCACCCACACCAGTTTGCATACACGGCAAACAGATCCACAGAGGACGTAGCCACAGCCCTCCACGCTGTGCTGTCTCACTTGGAGCATCAGGAGAGCTATGCATGGCTGCTCTTTGTGGATTATAGCTCCGCATTCAACACCATCTTCCCCCACAAACTGGTGGACCTGGGAATTCCATATTACACCTGCACATGGATTAAGAGCTTCCTGTGTGGAGGCAGCCAGAGGGTGAGAGTGGGCCCACACACATCCACGGCTCTCAGCCTCAGCACTGGTTCACCACAAGGCTGTGTGCTGAGCCCCCTCCTCTACACCCATGACATATCTTTGAATTGAACGCATATTATTATAATTACTACTACTACTACCTTTACTACTACTACTTGGAAAAGGCAAGAATACAATTGCAGGTACTCACTCTGACTGGGGAAAGTGGTACCAGTGCTGCCCACCACTAAGAGGTTTGCCTACAGTGGGTACAGAAAGTATTCAGTCCCCCTTAAATTTTTCACTCTTTGTTATATTGCAGCCATATGCTAAAATCATTTAAGTTCATTTTTTTCCTCATTAATGTACACACAGCACCCCATATTGACAGAAAAACACAGAATGTTTGACATTTTTGCAGATTTATTAAAAAAGAAAAACTGAAATATCACATGGTCATAAGTATTCAGACCCTTTGCTGTGACACTCATATATTTAACTTAGGTGCTGTCCATTTCTTCTGATCATCCCAGAGATGGTTCTACACCTTCATTTGAGTCCAGCTGTGTTTGATTATACTGATTGGACGTGATTAGGAAAAGCCACACACCTGTCTATATAAGACCCTACAGCTCACAGTGCATGTCAGAGCAAATGAGAATCATGAGGTCAAAGGAACTGCCTGAAGAGCTCAGAGACAGAATTGTGGCAAGGCACAGATCTGGCCAAGGTTACAAAAAAATTTCTGCTGCACTTAAGGTTCCTAAGAGCACAGTGGCCTCCATAATCCTTAAATGGAAGACGTTTGGGACAACCAGAACCCTTCCTAGAGCTGGCCATCCGGCCAAACTGAGCTATCGGGGGAGAAGAGCCTCGGTGAGAGAGGTACAGAAGAACCCAAAGATGACTGTGGCTGAGCTCCAGAGATGCAGTCGGGAGATGGGAGAAAGTTGTAGAAAGTCAAAGAAAGTCAACCATCACTGCAGCCCTCCACCAGTCGGGGCTTTAGGGCAGAGTGGCC